ATGCGACGCACTGCGATGCCATGTTGTCACCTGCAGGAACAAGCTGATTGACAGCAGGTAGTATGGTTTTGTGTGATAGGATGTGCAAGAAGTGTGTCACGTCACGCACGGCAATGCTATGAAATTCACATGGTGCGTTACCCTCGCCACACCATGTCACTGAACGCGCTGTTCTACTACGCCTCGACATGCAAGAATACAGTAAGAAGTCCTGGTATACGAAATCCTGGGGCACCAATTTTCAAATGCTTAGGTCCTAAAGTACCAAGAAAGTTTCCGTGAGTCCCTGGGGCCACCAGAGGGGAAAAGCATCTCCGAGTGGCAACTGCTGGCACGCTGTTTTTTTGGGGGGGGCGCATATCCTGCATGGTATCGTGTACAATCCAACCCTTCCCCTCCCTCTCTGCACCTTGAAGGGGAGGAGCAGCAGCAACAGCAGGAGGCAAGACAGTCAGCATCGAAATGAGAAATCGGATCGGATCGGAACGAATCGGACCACACCAACACGGAATCGGAGTCGAGTCGAATCGAGGGCGTCAGGATGCATAGCAACCCCAAGCAAGCACTGGGCCTCATCGGACCGCCCAAACATCGGAATCCAATCGAATCGGGCCTGCCAGAGCCGATACCGAATCGGATTGAACGGATCGGAATGGTCCATGTGAGGGCACTGCGACCACAACTTGTCCCCCAACGCGGCGAGGATCTCCGGGTCCGTCCTGTGCGTCTCCCCCTGCAGGATGCTCAGACCTCAAGCAGCCGCCGCCGATTCGCCCCCGCCCCGGCAAACGATCGGGAGCGCACCAAGGAGAACGAGAAGGACAGGGCGACGAAGAAGCAGGATAAAGAGAATGACGAGACTGGGCAGGACGAGAGCGACCGAGGAGGCCGGGCGAGCCAGCGGGAACGGCGAGGGAGGAGGGGGAGCAGCGGGCGAGCGAGCGACGGGGGGGGGCAGCTCGAGACGAGCGAACGGCCACGGTCGCTCGCTCGCTCGAGCGGCTCGAGCGCCTCGAGCGAGCGAGCGGGGAGGGGGCCGCTCGCGCCAAGGAGCTCGATCGAGGGGCTCGCTCGCTCGAAGGGTTCGAGCGGGCAGGCCCTCTCGACGGCGCGCTCGCTGCGGCGAGCGAGCGGGGGGGGGCAGCCAGCGCGCCCGCTCGCCCAGCTCGCTCGCCCGCTCGCTCGAGCGGGCAGGCACGGGGCCGGTCCTCGCCGCATCGCCCGCTTTCCCCAGACCCCCTGCAGCGTCGTGAAGTTCACAGCGTCGAACCCCAGAATTCTCGACCCCTTCCCCGGGACCGGCTTCTCATCCTGAGTCGTCTTTTGAAGCTCCTGGGGCCCGGCGAGGGCCCTCAGAGGCCGAAAATCACGAAAAGCGTTTGGTCGATATTTTCCCACGGCCCGAAAGGGCCTGGGCCCCCCGCTCGCCCGCCCGGTGGAGCGGGCGGGAGAGTTGGCGGGCGAGCGAGGGGCTGGGGTCCAGCCGCGCTGGAGGACGGCGCAGACCTCCGCGCGCGCCGCCTCGGTCGCTGTCTCGGCCGCTGCGTCCGCGGCCGCGGCCAGGGCCGCCGCCTGCGCAGCCTCCGCGGCGCGGGCCTCCGCGGCCGCGCGGGCTGCCGCCGCGCCTGCCAGCGGCCCGCTCGCTCGGCCGCGCGGCGGCCCCTTTCGCCCGCTCGCCTCGGGCCACCCGGCTCGCCCGAGCAGCGCGAGCGGCTCGAGCGAGCGAGGGCCCGCCTGCTCGACCAGCGCGAGCGGGCGCGAGCGGCGGGCGACGTTTTCGCGCTTACGCCCCCAGGATTGTGGATGCCACGACAATGGACACTCAAACAACCCTATCATTGAATTAAAGATGTGTTTAAGATGTGTAAAACATGCTCTAAAGACGTTTCAAACATGATTTAAACACTTTAAACATGTTCGCAACACGTTCTGGACATCTGGAAACTGTTAGGCAGCACGCTTCCTCTACATTAATCGACTTCCACAACCCTGGGATCGGACGCTCCAACAAAAATGTGGAACCGCGGGTTCGGGGCCGTCTCCGGCCGCCAAGAAGCCCCAAAAAAGAGCCAGGGCGAAAAACCGGCCCCAGGGGAAGTGGCGCGGACCTCCGGGGCCCACGCGCCGAGGAAATGGGAGCGGCCGGATGTCCGGGGCGCCCGCGGCGGCCGAGCGGGCGAGGGGGGCTGGGCCCCATCGCGCGGAACGCGGACGCTTCGTCGCGCGGGCCCGCGGCTCGAGCGGGCGGGCCGGGCCGGGACGGGCCCCGACGACGAGCAGGTCGAGCCGGGGGGGCGCGCCCTGGAAGGCGATCGGGCGGGCGGAATACTTCGAGGAAGAAAAACGGCAGAAACATTACGCTACCGACGAGCACCGCAGACTTCGTTTTAACTCTTGCGTTGGCGTCGCTGACGCGCAACATATGTGGGCGCGCGCTAATCGCTACCTCGTCGAGTCGGCAAACGTCTGCCACGCCCGAGAAGCCCATCGCAGATGTCGGGCACACTCGTTGACGGACCGTCTCTGGCATTATGCAAACGTCGCGCCCGCCACGCCCCTGCTCTCGCGGAATAGCTCGCCCCCGCACCCCTGCGGCGCGGATAATGCGCCACGCCTGCAACCCCCAGGGAAAGGAGCGGGAGGGAGACAGGGCGCGGCAACGCCCGCATTGCCGGCATCGCCGACTCGCCGAATTTTCACCAAGGGCGAGCCATCACCAACAGCGGGGAACCCGCTGGATGAAGGGTTCAGCAGGCACCTCACCAAGCATTGCCCCCTGTCATCGTCGCCCCCTCCTTGATGGAGCAGCTCATCGTACCTGCTGAGAAGCGTATCAGACCACCAATTATTGAGCTGTCGGCGGTAAGAATTACATGCGTGTTTCACCAAAGCTGCCTCGCAACTGCGCAGATTGACACTTCGAACCTCGACACGCGCGCCTGCCATGGACTTCTTCAGCTTCAAACACGGAGGCGGCAATGCGTGAAGGGCACATTTGGGTGGCATGAGCGGCGCGGGTGGCAAGGCAACACCTGCGATATTCATGCCAATGTGTGTCAGGGTGCCCACGGCTCTGGCTGCCACGCACGTCGCGTTTCCCTTCCTGGCGCGCATATGGGGCCGCGCTGACGGACCACCCCCTGCGCACCCACTGCGGTGGCCCTGGCGCGCTGACAGACCACCCCCTGCGCACCCCCTCTTATGTTGAGAAAACGCAGCGCCTGCCGCGCTCTCCGACCCTGGAACGCATAGGAGCCGCGCTGACAGACCACCCCCTGCGCACCCCCTTCTGGTGTCGAGAAAATACAACGACTGCTACGCTCTCCGCCCCCGGCACGCATAGCGGCCGGGCTGGCAGACCACCCCCTGCGCGCCTCCTCTGGCGTCGAGAAAGTGCTACGCTGGCCACGCTGAGAGGGGGCCGCGGTGAGAGACCACCCTCTGCGCACCCCCTCTGGCGTCGAGAAAGTGCCACGTCTGCCACGCTCTCTGACCCTACCACGCATAGGGGCCGCGGTGAGAGCCCCTGCGAACTCTCTCTGGCGTCGAGAAAATACATCGCCTGCCACGCTCTCCGACCCTAGCACGCGTAGGAGCCGCGGTGAGAGACCACCACCTGCGCACCCCCCCTGGCCCCGAGAAAATGGAACGCCTGCCACGCTCTGCGACCCTGGCACGCATGGAGGCCGCGCTGGCAGACTACCCCCTGCACACCCCCTCTGGTGTCGAGAAAATACAACGCCCGCCTTGCTTTCCGACCCCGGCACGCACAGGGGCCGCGGCGAGAGACCCCCCCCCTTGCACACCCACTCTGGTTCCGAGAAAGTGCCGCGCCACCTCCATGGTGACTGAGCACGGCCGTGTGTTGTGCGGTGTGTGTGTGGGGGTACGTTTTGTCGCGTTGTGTTGCGTTGTGCTGTCTGGTGCGTGCATGATGCGCGCTGTGGCGTTGTGTGATGTTGCGTGGCGTGGCGCGCGTGTCATGTGTATGTGTTAAGCGAATGTTGCGCGTGCGTGTCCCGTGCATGCTGCGTGCGCGGCTGCATCTGGACGCGCGACTCATGCGGGTGCCCAGCATGTGGCGCATGCGTCGCGTGTGTCTTATGCAGTGAACACGCCAGGCGTGCTCTGGCATTGATAGCGCGCATGTCAGATGCGCGCGCGAGTGCGAGCGGGGGCGAGGAAGAGCTGGCGTGACTGAGAAGCGCGGGCGACGCGGGTGGGAAGAAGACCAGAAACAATTGAGCACGTGGTGAGTAAGCTCTTGAAGGTCCGCGCGGATTTCCCGGACCTGGGCTGCAGCCCCCCCCCTGGCGCGCGGAGCGCGCCAGGTGCGGTGCCCGAGACGCCGCCAGGGGCCCCAGCGCGGATCCAGGAAATCCGCGCGGAGCTGCGAAAGTTTGCGCTTAGACTGCGGCGCGAAGGCCCCAGGGCGCAGGGCGCGAGCGCGCCGCGCCGCGGCGCGCGGCAGCACGGCGCGGGCGAGAGGCGCGGGGCGGGCGGGCGCACCTGACTGGCGGGCCTGGGCCTGGGCTGGAGGCGGCTGGGTTTACAGAGTTCGAGCGGCGGTGGCCAGAAGGTCTCCCTTGGTCTAGAGCGCGAGCAGGCAAGATTCAACAAAGAGCTCTCGTCGCCATGTCGTCGCGCACTCACTGGGCCCCTGCTTGACCAGCTTCGCTCCGCCGAGAATTTTTTCCGGGGGGGCGGGCTGGCATTCCCAAGGCTGGGCCGCTTCTGCGGAAGGGGCCCCGGGCCCGTGTCCGAGCGAGGGTCAGAAACGCCCCCCGGGGGCGCTTTCGGCGCTCGCTTCACTGTCCGCGGAGGTGACTCCAGGGCCTCCGTCGGGCCAGCGGCCAACAAATGTTCGTTCGTCAAGTCGATGCATCGTCGCCGCCGGCACTCGCAGCGCTCGGTGCACGCAGCCGTTGGCTCAACAATGGCGCAGCAGGACAAAGCGGGCAAGCGCCAGGCTCACTTGGGCGCCCCCGGGGGGCGCGCGCATGCTGGCGGCGGCGCCAGTAGCAGCGCCGCGGCCGCAGCTGGCGGCGCGTCCGCGCAGGCTGCAGGGGGCGACGCCGCACGCGCTGCAGGCGCGGCCCCTCGGCGCGCCCCCGGCCGACCCCGTCGGGCCAGACGCTGCGGGGCAAGCGGCCGCGGAGCTCGGCGCCTTGGGCGCCACGGTCCACGGGGACTTTCGGCGCCTGTCCGCCGCAGAGCTCGCGGGGGCGCGGCCGCCGCTGACGGGCGCCCAGCTCCGCGAACGCATAGTGCATGGCCCACTTTCGGCGGCGCGCTCCGCGGCGCCCCCGGCGCCGCCGAGCCGCCCGCCGCCGCCGCCGCGCGCGCCAGAGGCAGTTGACTTGGCAGCGGCAACAATAGCACTGAAGGCACTGCAATTTTCTCCGGCGACCAAGGCGGCCCCCCCCGCCCCCGGAGACGCTCGCAGCAACGGTGGCGACCCTTGGCAAAGCAGATCTGCAGCGCCTCGCCGAGCAATGGCGCCGCAGCGAGGGCAGGGGCACGCCGCGCGCCCGGGCTGCCAGCTTGTCGCCGGGGGACGCGCAAGGGGCGGTGATCAACGAACTCGCGCGCAGGGAGTCGCAGAACTGGCATAAGAGCACGGTGAAGTACTCCAGCCTGGTGCGGCCGTGGGGCACAGTATACGACGGCGTCGCGCCGTGGTCCCCCTCGGAGACCAGCCTCGGCGCATTCGCGATCGCTGTCCAGCTGGTCAAGTACCTGTCCCAGGTTCGCTCCGTGCTGCGCCTGGTCAACGCTCCGCTTGGCGCCCCGCGCGACATGGCCGAGCTCGGCAAAGGAGCTTCGAAGGGGCCCCAGGCAGACAGGTACAAGCCCCAGGCGCCGGCGAAGCAGACGCGCGACTTGAGCCGCCACTGGCGGGCCAACCTGGGCGAGCCCGACCTCGCCGACGTAGTTGTAGTGGCCAGGCATTGCTGCCTGAGGTTTGAATCAGAGGTCGCGCCCCTGCAATATTCCGGCGGTCATTCAGAGGTCCGGATCTCCAAGGGAGAGGGCCGTGGGCCGCGCGTTCTCGGGCCTCACCTGCTCGGGCTCTCTCGCTGCTCTGAACGTGGCGGCATTCAACCTGGGCTTCCCCCGGGCCAGGGAGTGGGGGACCCACGCGTTCCGCCAAGGCTGGGCGGACGAGGCCTTGAAACTTGGTGGCTTGACCAGGCTTTCTTTAGCGGGGGATGGAGGGGCGTCGCTGCTCTTGGCTACGCGTCTGCGCAAGCGAAGGGCGCCCTCCTGGCCGCAGAATGGCTGGTCGAGTTCTCAGACTCCTCGTCGAGTGGCGAGCGCGCGCGCGAGCGCGCAAGGAAAAGCATGCGCTTTCAAGGTGCGCGCTGGCGCACCCGTCCGCCGGGCCCCCGTTTTCTCGCCGTCTCCCAGAGTCGTGGCCCGCTCGCCAGCAGTTGGCACGGGCGCGCGGGGGGGCGAGCCGATCCACAGCAATGGGCCCCGACGACTGGTTCGGTCGCGCGTCCCAGCGCCAGTAGCGCTTCGAGTCATTCGCCCTTAGCTGGCGCGGTCACTCGGAGGCTGCGTAGAATCCGCATGATCTTTAAACTCACCAGGGCTTGCGCGCAGGAGGATTCAGCAGATTTTCGGGGGTCCATTCGTGGCTTCGTCCATTCGGAGCATCGTGGCTGATCGGCAGGCTGCGGCCGGGGGGGCATCGCGGCATCGCGCGCCTGCCCGTTACCCCCGAGAGGGGTTCGGCCACCGCTTCGCGGTTGCACTGCCCGGACCTCGACACCTGGCGCCCTGCGCCGTGCCGCGCCGCGTGGGTGTCATGTCACCGCCCGGGCTCTGGGGTGGGATAGCAAGTACCGGGCTCGCGGGCTCGTTGGTGACCGCTGGCGGCTGCCTGTCGCGCCCCTGCCCCTCCCTGTGCGGGGCCGTTTCCTCCGAGTGGCACTGGCGCCGGGGCCCCGACGAATGGTTCGGTCGCGGTCGCGCGCCCCAGCGCCAGCAATGCTTCGAGCCACTCGCACTTAGCAGGCGCGGTCGCTCGGAGGCTGCGTAGAATCATCCTCCTCCTCCTCTTCCTCCTCCTCCTCCTCCTGTTCCTCCTCCTCCTCCTCCACATCCTCCTCCTCCTCCTCCTCCTCCTCCTCCTCCTCTTCCTCCTCCTCCTCCTCATCCTCCTCCTCCTCCTCTCCTCCTCCTCCTCCTCCTCATCCTCCTCCTCCTCCTCCCTCCT